AATAAAGTAAATAAATAAGTTTTAAGCTTACTTTTAAAGGAAGCAACAGTAGTACAAGAGCGAATCTCAAAAGGGAGCCTATTCCATAATCTGGGAGCAGCAAAGGAAAATGACCTGAAACCATACGTAGTACACCTAGCTTTAGGTTCAACCAGAAGTTTGTTGGAAATAGATCGGAGAGCATAAGAAGAAGAACGATAGCACAGAAGATCAGACAGATATGTTGGGGCAAGGCCATGTAAGGCCTTGTAGGTCAGCAACAGCATCTTGAAAATTACTCTGTAGTATACTGGCAACCAGTGCAGGTCAACCAACACAGGAGTAAGAGGTAATAAAGAGGTAATAAATATATTATAAAAAATAAATATATGAACCACAAAACTGGAAACCCACTGAAAAAAAGCTTCTCTTCAATTGATTCTCCTATTTTTTTAACATCACTTTTCGTGACATCGTTTTATCATATTTATGGCATACCGTATGGACTAACTTTGTTACAATTCAGATTCACTTCATAAAAAAATAACAATAATTACTAGTTTCTATAGCTTATCAGAATTCCCCTCCCTTGGCAGAAGTTACACGTTTACTCCTTCGCATTCTTAACTCTTTTATGTGATCAGGAGATACGCAGCTTAGTTTGTGARTATCGAAATTTAAACCTAACTCCTTACCTTCATTAATTTGTATCGAAAAAGCATGCAGATTGAACACGTTGTGTGGTTTGTAGTTTTAATTCGTCTGATTTTCTGCATTTATTTTCCTAACAATTTATTCAGAAATTGAGGGCTTGTCACGGTTGACCAATCTTTTGCTAGTACCATTGTTGATTTTGAGCAGAATGTAATGACCAACATACACGTGGATACCAGCAACCAATACTAAATGCGTTAATGATCACGTACATGTTACTGAGATTCGGCTTTCGACACGTGAATACTACCCACAGACACTCAATGAAAAAAGCAAGTGATCAGAGGCTACCCTGCCGGCTTTTTCATCTAGGTTACCAACTGTGTATATTTAATAGGCGTTTCTTCTAAAACGCCGAAAATCAATAAAGAAACAAGGTTCGTGAGAAYGTAGTGCAGACATAGATATCTCACTTGACAGTCATAAGGATCATAATAGCAGCTTCTTGAGTACGATTCTCTAGAAGCTATGGATGATTGAGTTTATAGAAAAATATGTCGGAACAAGATATCATAGACTTGAATTCGTCCGAGCCATTATGGCAGAATCAGTTAATGAGTCGAGACTTCAATATCTGCCATAAAGGGCGAGGATGRATCCTATAGGTGTATTATTTCATCATATAATTATCCATAAAATAACTATATTTCTCCTTTTCGAAAAACTGATATTTTCACATTTGAAAATAACATGTTATTTTCACATGTGAAAATATCGTTACCATGCTATTAGTTTATAAATCAAAACTTTTTATAATAATAAAAAGCTTGTCAATTTGATTTTATGGATAATTATATAATAAACAGAATATTACATGGGCGCTTGGAGATACGAAATTTATCTTCTCGTTTTGAAAATCTCTCACTCGTTCGTTACGCTCACTCGTGAGAGATCTTTTCACTCAACACTCGAAGATAAATTCCGTATCTCCGCGCACCCATGTAATATCCGAACAACTATTTTTTTCAATGGAAAGACCACGATAGTGCCATAACAATAAGTTTATTTTGCAGTCCAATAGGTTACTGCCCAATATCACAAAACAATGATCGTCACGTGACTAAATACGGAGATGGGATTGGAGGTTCTATCCTTCAATCCTACGACTATGATGTTCGTTTTTACTTGGGTGGTTTTCGATTCAAACATCATTATTTCTAATCAAATAGGTGTTTGTAGGTTGGGTTTAACTTCATCTGGTTAGACTTGTTCATCAATCTTTAAATAATTTCTTTATTTTACCGAGCTTTCGACCTACGCGTTCATCTTCAGGGTAACATATAAAGCTAGTTACATCCGTATGAGATAATAAACTTCAAAACCATCAAAACAATGATGCGCGCGCATCGATTATGATCTTACATAAAGCGCGTGCGGTCAATGAGTCGCCTAGCAAACTTATATAGTTCGGTGGTAGAATACTACCACTGTGTCTATTAAGCATAATTTTCTTTCTCAAGCCTCTTTCCAACTTCCTTTGATGCCATTAATTTGACTTCAGTTGTTTTTTCTTTTCATATATCTTTCTATTGCAGTGAGTTGGGATGCACTCATTGTACCGTACGAATCCCTCACGTAACTAAAGCACTTGAAGTGCCATAAAGTGGTATYCATGGGCTCCTAAATTCCGAGCAATGGAAGTAAAGCAGTTCTATTTCTGTCTGCAGATATCGGCCTAAAAGACCTACAGGTCAGGCCAAAACCTATTAGTTTTATTGCACTAAACGTTATTAAAAGATAAAATAAAATGATGAGTGTAGGGCAGTCCGAAGCGGCACGTTTACCGTTTACCAGGGTCAAAGAGGCRGCAAAAATCTATAACTAAAAATATAATTTAAGATGGCTGACTACTTATGTTAATAATAAACAGAAAATTGAAAATTAAGACTTCTTTAACCTGAAATTTAATGCTGATTTCAAACATGCAAAGAAAAATGGGGTGTCCTGAGCTTATATTTTAGATAATCACTCGGGAATGACGTGCGTTTGTAAAATTTTAACCTTTTATATCGGAAAATAACAAAAAATAAAGAGTCCCGAGCAAAATTTGAGGGTTTTGCGATCTTGAAGTTCAAAACGTGTATGGTTCTTCAATAAAATCGTGAAGCGGTTTATGAGCGCGCGCACATCGTGGGCTCAAATCGAATGTGAAAAGTAGTCAAGGTGGCTGACTACTATCTCTTATTATATTTTTGATGAATAGTTTTGAACATTTAGTTTTCTAATAATTTTAATAATACAGATAGTCTCAGCTATTTTCATACCCTTGAGCTTTATTGATTTTTGGTCTACAATATCAAACGATGGTTTCTCATGCAAGACATCATTATAAAAAGCAATTACACTATTCAGAAAAAGGTTCATATGAGATGGTATGGTCCCAAATCTGCAAAGTTCAAACATGTCTTACCATTTTTACATCTATAGAAAACGTTTTTTAATCTTTATAGTCTGTACAATTAGAAAAAAGAAATGAGCTAAAGAAAGAAAGCTGCGGTTAGCTTTCTCATTTTAAAAAAATGATTGTACAGAGTTTTAAAAAAAGTTTGAAAACGTTTTGTAAATATCACTACCTGTACAGATCATTAGGTTACATATTGTGTTTTACATTCTTCAAAAGGGTAAGAACTGAGAGAGAGAGAAAGAAAGAAAGAAAGAAAGAAAGAAAGAAAGAAAAGGATGGATGGATGGATGGATGGATGGATGGATATAACGGTCAGTTTATCAGCTTAGCTGCTCATTACAAGTGCTATTTTTAACTAGCTACCCTTTACGTCATATTCTGTGCCACAGCTCTTGACCACAGCTGCTGCACCAAACATCGCCCCGCGGCCCAGACACAGCTATATTTAACTTCATTGTTTTGTTTTTATGGAACCGTTACGCATTAAATACAAAGCTACGAAACAGCAATCCTGACATACTGCAGAACGACTGTTTTCAGCATCTCAATAATCCACAACACTGAATATTATGATTATTTACAGCCAAGACCAGGAATCCATGACAGCATCCATGACGGCTGAGCAGCAGGACTGAAGTACAAGCATCGATGATAAGCAAATCTGCTCAACTTTATTTAGGTATGTTTCTTTACAACTTTAATTTATTTTAAGATAAATTTATTTTTTGAAGTTCCATATTGTTCTTGATGCTCAACAAGATTTATTCGTTTTCTCATAATGCCCCGTCCACACTATGCCGGATAAATTTGAATCCCCAACTTTCACACCGAAACCGAAAAAAAAGTTTTCCGTCCACACATGAAAACGGATAAAATGTTTCGCGTCCACACTAGTCCGATCAGAGGCGGCAGAAACGCTTCATTGCACATCTGAGCATGTGCATTGAAGCTGAAAGCCCGGGGTGAATTTTTAGCCTTCCCACCATGTTCCCATGACAATCATGACGTCATTGTATTCGAAAAATTTCGGATACGAAATGTTYTTCCTCCACACTAATACGGCTAGCCGGCGTTTTCAAATTGTTCCACTCTGGAGAACTCCATATTCGACAAAAACTCGTTTTCGGTGAAGAATTGTTCCGGATTCGCCCGAACTAGTGTGGACGGTAGGCCAAACCGAATAAATAAAAATTCGGATTCAAATTTATCCGGCATAGTGTGGACGGGGCCTAAGAAAGTTAATGGTTTTGTTTATTGTATAGCTTATTTTACTGAAACAGATGAGTTACATGAGCGTTTACATGATGAGTTTATGCGCCTTTAAGATAAGAATACATAATAAGACTTTATTGATTAAATTCAATTAATCCGAAAAGCATTAGTTTACAGCATGGCCAAGAATACGACAATAATCATCGATTGGGTTCAAATGAGGAAAACTTAATATATCGGTAGTTATTTCTTGTTGTCTAATCTTTAGAACTCCATTCATTATCCTTGCGTATCATAGATTTCATTTTAAACCTTTTTTTAAAAAAAAGTTGGAAGGAAACAGAGGAGAGGGAGGCAATTGCCCCCTACCCGTCCTCTTATCAGGGCCTACTCAACAAGATTGCAAAGCTATGGGTTGAATTTTCCCACTAAAGTTGCAGAGATAATCTATCTTAAGCCACGTCTACACTAGCGATTTTCTTGCGATTTTCTTGCGATTTTGTCCGTAATAAATAATGGTAAAGGATTTACTTGTAAATTTTTTTTCAGGATACCAAGATTTTCCTTGACGAATGTCACTTTTGAAGGAGGAGACATAAGATTTCATATTTCCGAAAATTGCCACAAAAATCGCAGCAAAAATCGCAGCAAAAATCGCAGCAAAAATCGCCGCAATAAACGGGGCTTTACTAATCCAATAGCTGTAAATTTAGCTTATTAATAGGTGAACGTACAATGATGAAATTTGTTTAAAATTGTTATTTAAATTGCCAATAATAAATCTAAAGGACAATATTAAATAAAGCAGAAGGAAAAAAAGATATGGTTATAATGGTTGGTTCATTAACATCGTGCAATGCCAATGTGGTTTATAAACATTACGTCCAACTAGATCATGGACTGAAGATAGTTTAACTGAAAGATCTCTTTCTGCAGCCAGTGTTAATTTATGTACAATAACATTGCTTGTCGGTTATGAGTGGTTGTTAGCAGAGAAGAGTCATGACTGTTATATTAAACATTTTTCACATATAGTCCATTAAATTGTGATTATGACGTCATATGCTACAAAAGGTTAATAGACTGTGTAGATAGTCTTTAGACATTGAGTACCTTATCTTGTACGAATAACTCAAGCAAGTTTTTTCCCCTGGCATTAGTTCTAATTTAACACTTATATACAGTTTCCTTTTGCAGTATTCTGTAAAATCTGAAATTGTCTAACATCGGATCTTACTTAATAATCTAGCAACCATCATACAATACATTACAATCTTTGTACCAGTATATATTCCCAAGTAAACCTTTGTATAAACGTCTTYCCAACTCATCATCAAACCCCATTTGAATTTTGTCCAGAGGTAATGTTTGTAGTTTTCAAGACTCTCAAGAAATTCGGAGGACTGGATTGCAGGAAAACTCCTTGAGAATCATTGTCGTTTTCTATTTCAAATCCTTGTGTTTGAGTGTTGAGCTCAATTTCATTCAGCTTGGTCGAGGATAAAGGTACTGTCCCCGATGTCTTGCATCTCCGCGATAAAACGTATCTTCTTATGAAATGTCTGTAGCTCTCATGTAATCCAATGCATAGCCAAGGATTGATGGCGCTGTTTGAAACAAACAGGACGAAGGCTGTAAACGTAAATTTCCAGGCATTGCAAGGTATTTGGCCGTCCCACACATAGAAACTCAACAATCCTAACACTGTTATAGGAATTAAACTCAAAAGAAATGCTGTCAACATGACTATGACTTTTCGAAGAACTCGTATGTCTTCTTTTCGTCGTTGTTTACGGACTTCAGAGGCTTGTGCGGCAAGCTGGTTACTGTGTATGTTAAGAGAAACCATCAAACACGAGTAGAATATGATCATTAGGAAAACTGGAATACTTATTACGAAAATAAAGATTACTGCAAAGTAAATCTGGGATGATTTTTTGCCCTCTAATGAAGACCAGTCAGGAAAACAGAGTGTCTTGTTTCCTATCTTGTGAAGCTCGTACACATACCAGTTGGGTGAATGAAGTATGAAGCCGTAAAGCCAGATGAGAGCAATGATGTRCTTCCTTCGAGCTGGAGTGATGGGTGATGGGCGTAAAGAATAGACTATCGCCCAGAAACGATCAAAAGCAATAACGGTATGGCTTGTAATTGAGATACACACCGACCAATCAGCGAAGGAGAAGCAGAACTTGCACAGGAACGTCCCAAAGCTTCCATCAATAAGCCATACGCGAGGCCCAATGTAGAGTTCTACAAGGATGGTTGGAATAACAACAACAGCGATGAAGATATCCGATGCTGCCATGTTGGCAATGAAGATGTTGGTTGTTCGTCGCATGTTTTYCTTCTTGTAAACGATAATAATTATAAATAAGTTCCCAAGAAGCGCTGCCACCATGATTAGAGAGTATAAGACTGTCTTGATGACCTTGAGTGTGGTAGAATCAGTCTCACTTGCCGCACAGCTTTGCACCTGTGTCATGGAGGTACTGTTGTTGAATGGCGAGTTCATGTTGCTCAGGCTTCTCTGTTCTCTGAAGAAAAAATATACACCTTCAGTTGGATTTCCAGTTGTATAAATACGGCGAATAATACAGATTTCAATAAAAGCCGGATTCTTTAACATAAATAAGTTTTACCGCAAACTATTGAGCAGTAATCACCATTTAAATATCCAATTATAAACGCTGCTTAGTTTAAATAAACATTTCTTGTTTTATGAAAAAGTTAACTTTTGGTTTCAGTCTGGAAAACACTGAGTATCAGGTTATGCTATCGTCTTAATGACCCCGATGTCTGAACACGAAGTGGCGCTTTGCGTTTGTTAGTTGTGAGATGTAAGGTTGATTTATGAAACAAAATCACGCGAGATAAGAAGAGATAAGAAGCGTAGAAAATAAAATTGAATAATTAAAGGTATAYTTGATGATAAGTCATCCGGCCTTCACTCATATTGAAACATGTTTGATTCGATTTAAATGCTTGCCAAAAACACTGATCGACATGACAAATTACGTTTACATCGGCATCCTTTGGTTGAGGAGTGAACCAGCTTTACATTAACGAGCATTAAATTTGAGACACGGTGTTATTGTCTGAGTAGCGACCGATATTTTTTCCTGATAAAATCTTTATTCTGTGCATGTAGAAGGACGATTAATACTTAAGTAAACAATAAAAGAAACCTTTGGAATATAAAACAACCAGGGGAAAAAATAATTTAAAAAAAAAAAAAGAATAAAAAAGAAAAAATCAATGAATATTCTTCGTGATATTGCTGTGATGTTTGTCTAAAAAGGTATGATTTTGGTCAACAGAGAGTTTTTGAAGGGTACAAGATATGCCAAAAAGACAGTTGACCAAACCTAAAGTGGGTTAAGATCCACCGACAAAGCTGTCATTCTTTCTCGATGAATATCTTGGCACTAATTATGTATTTTTCTGCTTAAGTCCGATTCAAAATTTGAATTTGTTTTGTCACGGATTACATCAAAAAAGGAGTTTCTAAACAACCTTTATGAAGGCAAAACTGAAGTCTTCAAAATCATAAGATTTTACATCGAGCCCCCAAATTTTTCCCCTTTTCATATCACGTGTCATTTCCTTGTGAATCTTGTCTTTGTTTACCATGAACACCCGAGAGGATTTATACATATATGGATGAAACTGAAGCATGCAAATAAATAAACTTGTTCCAAATATCTTGATAAGAAATAGACCAGAAAATTTGACTAAAGCAAAGTTGAAATTTGTGTCAAAAATATGCTATCACATGTCAGTCAAAAAGACTAAAAACTGAAATACCTTTTTTGACGTATCAGCTTTTCGAGCTTTTTCTAGCGAATACTCCTTAAACTTCTTTGCTTTTATGCAGTTCCAACAGACTATTATCGATGTGGCATGCTGCTATCAAGCTATTTAGCAATAAGTGATTCTTTTACACTCTTCATTTTTCTCACAACATAGAAGAAATATGTAAGCCATCAGACGAGCCAGCTCGGAACGAGTTACATAATTGAATTAAAAAACATCATTGGTCATCCAAACAATAGCACTAAACCTAACCTTACAAAAGCGGTACTGTACTTAGGGAGCAATGAAAATCCAGCTTAACTGGATTACTCGAGCATCAGACACCGCGAAAGCTGATTTTCTGTGTTGTAGTCAGAACAGATACTCGCGTCTTAGTTTTTGGACCAATCAGAGTTTACGAAGGATCGCTAATATCTTCGACTATTTTTTTAGGAGACGTAATGATAAAAATAAGACGTAAAGAGAAAAATAGGCTAAGATAAAACTTGTTAGTCAGATCAGTTCATCGTAAGAAGATCAAACAAATCCAAAATGGCTAAAAATACTTAGATTTTTTATCGAACATCACGAGTCAACCGCTGTGAAAATATCATGAATTTTATTAAATGTTTAGGTACGTAGATACCTATAATATTTATATAGTTTTTCCTTTTATCGTGATTCAAAATGTGTTCTAAAATAACCAAAACAAAGCATGTTTTGAGAAATATTATCATAGTTAATTCTCATTCATTAAATGGAGGGCGGCCGTCCGGGTGAGCGAAAGGAAATATTTGTTCTCCATATAACGAGATATTTAAGTGGCTATTTATAGTTCCCTCCGCTAAGACTTAATGGTTCGGGTTGATTGCTCAGTCTCGTGTTCATTAAGAAAACGCTCGATTGACTCCTTTTTAGAGTGATTTTATAATGTAGGGTTATTTTTCTTCAATAACTTAGCAAATTAAAGCCGTTTCAAAATTAGTTTTATCTTTTTGTATTGCATGATATTTCATAATAGTCTGTTTCCTTACTTTGACTATGTTAATGTTATTTTTGAAGACACGTTTTTTCACTCGCCTTAATATAATCGCCTGACCCTGTTTGAACAGTTCTGTTCCATGCTTAGTTTTGTTACGGACGGAATTGCTGACCTTTGGAGCAGCTTCATGAATATCCTGTTAAGATCATTTTGATACRAGTTTTTGCTTTTATGTTGACTGAATTGTTAGTATTTTTTAATTGGGTCAAGATTAAGTGGCTGATTTGTTCAAGACAAACCGTTCTGACCCTCAGCACTTACATTTAAACTAATAGCCTCATTTATTCTACAGTCTTTTCTAGATGCTTGACTATATGTAGTAACTGGCAACTGTAGTGAGATATTGAGCTCTCTTATAATTATTATACTAGCATATGTGTGTATTCGTGTATATATATATATATATATATATATATACCAAGTGCATGCAAACGCTATACCCAACGAAATGTATCCCCCTTTGAGATGTTTTGTGCTACGGTTCTAGAATGCTTGACTGATGTATCGAAGCGAATAGTCTCTTTCATAGTTCCCTGTGGCATCTTGAAAGATAGCCGTGCCTTTGCATCGATCCGAGAGAGACAAACGGTGTACTAGCAATGATAGAGACATGTTCAAGGTGTTATCAATACAAGCTCACCCGCGTTCGTCTCGCTTTAATGCAAAGGCACGGCAACCTTTCAAGATGGCGYAGGGAACTGTGAAAGGGACTATTGGTACGTCACAYAGCCCTACCGACATCATGCCGCCTACTAACGTCAGTAAGACGTCAAAGCAAGCAGTTTCAATCAACCAGACTTCAACTTTTTAAACTTGAATTTCAAAGTTACCCTTTCGTGTGTACCCGCATGCATGCCACTAAGAGAGCCACGTGTCTTGAATGCTTTTGGCRCTGTTGGCTACGACTATTATTTGAATTTGATATCTGATTTTGTTTAGGACGGCCGCGACAAATAGAATGCTTGAATGCTGCACCAATCGGCTTATTGATAAGTCTAGCAAATGTTCGGTAAAACTGTCACACCCATGCCGGCATTCTCTTTTTCAGTTTTCTAGAAGCCTAACGTTAATTAGAGAAATTGGGCAAAATATCAATTTAAGGCCTAATGAAARGGGTTGCTTAATGATATTATATTAGTGAGCTTTGCGCATCTTCCTGTGCGGGCCGATTCACTGGCTCCTTCTCGTTATCATATTGTGATTAATTGCCAATATCTTCAATGTTTGTTTGTTTGGTTTTCTTTAAAGCTGGGTTGATTATTTGAACAAATTTAAAGTAAAGTTCAATTTGTGCAAGGAAATAAAGTATAAATAAGTTTGTGACAGTTTGTCAGTTGGAATTAGTAAACAATATTAACCTAATCACGACACGAAAAATAAGAAAACATTAAAGAAGATGTACCATGAAATAGAGTTCCAGAAATAAAATCACATGTCTTACGAGAAGCCACTTCATCACCAGTGATATAAACCTGAAGCCTACGCTCTACAAGAGAGACCTTGTGTTCTAGTAACACGAAAAATAAGGAGACATTTAAGGAGATGTACCATAAAATAGAGCTCCAGAAAAAAATCCCATGTCTTACGAGAAGCCACTTTATTACCMGTGATATAAACCTGAAGCCTACCCTCTACAAAAGAGACCTTGTGTTCTAGTAACACGAAAAATAAAGAGACATTTAAGGAGATGTGCCATAAAATATAGTTCCAGAAATAAATCCCATGTCTTACGAGAAGCCACTTCATCACCAGTGATATAAACCTGAAGCCTTTGCTCTACAAAAGAGACCTTGTGTTTTAGTAACACGAAAAATAAAATTTGTTAGGCTAGGAAATATCAATAATATATCACATATAAAAAAAAGATTAATTTTTTTTTTTTATTTAGAGAGTAGCACTTTATTGGCTAACAAACCTGCACCATGACCCTTATTTTAAAAATGCAAAAAAAAAAAAAAATTTTTTTTGTGGCTGAGACAAGATAGAATACATTTAAAATCAAAATATGATATTAAATTTTATATTTATTCATTTAATTTAAAATAGGTTATCGTAGTTAATTTAGGAATTTTTCTTTTTTATCTCTCACAAAGCAAGGTTATGAATGTAAGCTAGCTATAACTCAAATATATCTTGAAATTTCTTGTTGTAACCCGCGGTGTATAGAACGGCTGTAACGCATGTTTTCATTCTTTTTCCTTGCAAATCTGAYTTTATTCATATTCAACAATAATTATTATTTCAAAGAATGAAGAGAGATGTTTTGAAATATTATTATCTTATCTTATCCCGCGAAAATTACGTCACTAGCCACAGAAGGTCAATATCACTACAAACTCTTCACTTACTTCTAGATCATCATCCTAAAGGGATTTTCTCTCGGCGATAATCTCTATCAAAGATTTCTCAGAGATAGTAATATAAACTGAAGAGATCTATACTAGTCTTTCTGAATTTTTACTATAATTCCCGATGAAAGCTATGTGCAATATTTTTTAATCAGGGAAAATGAATCGCAATATCAGACTCTTAGTGAGAAATATTTTCCCAGTATTTTGCCTAAGCTACCAGTCCTTATGACTTACATACAACCGTTGCGTTAATAGTTTCAGCTCTCTCGGATGTCAGTCGAGAACTACTAAAAAATATCGACAAAATTTCCATTTTGATATTAGAACTGAAAGTTGCTTTTTCAGATTATTTCTTTAATGTTCGATYAATGACACAATCCAAATACTGCCGTAGTGCGATAATGTTATACTTACTAGCTCAAACCTTTTTCGAATGAATGGAATGTAGTTCTGGCAACGTCGCCGTATAGTGACATTACTGATGGAGGGTTACGAGATATGAGCTTAACAATGTAAAAGAGGTACAACATTGCTCAGGTTTTTTTTTGTTTTTTTTTTGTTTTTTAAATAAGTTATCCATGGTTATTAGTATAGGCACCTGCTGTTGTAATAGATATCATCTTGATATGTTAAGGTGACTGCCTACTTTTGGAAAACAATTTAAACTTTTTTTAAAACTTCGATTTTCCAAATTGAAATTTAATGCTGATTCTAAATCTGGAAAGAAAAAGTGGGTATCCAAAGCTTGTTTTCGAGATAATYATTATTTAATGGATGCCTACGCGCGAGCTTTTGGAGCAAAACTTGCGCCACCGGAAGTGATTAGAAAAAAGAAAAAAAAAAGATTCATAAGATAATAGTTATTTGCAGACTAAATGATTGCACGAATGACGGCTAGTCAATCATTCTACAATAATACATGGATATTTTCGACAAAAAGACAAAGAGACACATTGATTTGTCATATTTTGTAGTTTCGGTGCTCTTAAAAAATCTCATGAAGTCCCTACAAAAATCCCTACAAAAATCTATTTTTTCACCCGTTAGAAATATAAACTTTTTCTTAAATAATGAAATAACCTAGATTTTTAGGAGTTTTTTTTGAATGAGCTATTAGAAAATAGAGAGTACCGTGCAAAATTTGAGGGTTTTGCCCTGTTGAAGCTCAAAACGCGTATGGTTCTTCAATAAAATCTTGTAGATTTTTCAGCGGTTTTTGAGTGCGCGCACATCGTGGGCCCAAATCGAACGTTCAAACGTAGGCAGTCACCTTGAGGGGAAAAACAAATACAAGAAAGGAAAAAATGATTTATAGAAATGYCATTTAGTTGGCAAAATTGCCAATGCTCGATCAGTTAAATTTTTATAGAAACGCTTTGTTTTCGATTTTTAGTAACTAACTGAAATAATTAAATTCACCGACAACCATCAAAATAATGTTKKTTTTTTTTTTTTGGTAGTGTCTACAACGAAAATGTTAATCAAACGAGTGATTATAAAATTGCACGACCGCGTGACAAATAACATTCAAATGAATTCATAAAAGTTGAGAAATGGGATCTGTGGAAGCCTGATATACCTTAAATAAAAATAAAGTTCCATTGACGATGATTGATACAGTTTGATCCATGTGAACTATATCTATACAGATGAATTTAGCACTGATACGACTCGGAAGATTCGATCGAGACAAGCAAATCAATGAGCAATCTTTTAACGTCAAAATGTGAATCAATTGAAATGGAAACTGTAGTACTTTTTTTTAGGAGGTATATCATCGGTTACAGACAGACAGACAAGCATTATTTATACACGGTAAAAACATCAGTTACATCCTAAATTCAAATAAGTTAAAATTAAAACTGGTTTACATGTTTGCCGTGTGGGAGTCTGATAACGAATAAAATTTGTCAAGTCCTTTTTTAAAATGATTGAGAGACTTTGACTTTCTCAAGTCAACTGACAATCCATTCCATAACACAGAGCCACTGTTATATTACAGAAGGGGTTTTAAATGTACTTGTGGCGATGAGATCGGATTTGATTGATGGGATGAGGTACTTGATTTTAATACAATTAACTTTTAAGAGCATTTTTTTTTTTTCGATTTAAATTGTCAGTGACTCAGTTATTTATTCATCTAAGTCAACATTCTTGTAAGGACTTTTTGACAGAATAGTAATCACTCGTTCAGTCATCAATCACGCCCGTAACATAAACTGATATACTCCCCCGGCTTTTATTTTATTTAGTCAGATTTACTATAAGTACAATTTATTATCTTTAGTGGTGTGATTGATCATTTATTGATCCCCCCTCCCCCCTCCCCTAGGTAGAGCAAGTTTACTTGTCATGGCCTTTAGTAATATTTCTTTCTTTAACAAATAATTATTGAGATGATAGATTATTGGGGTTAATTAGGCAAAATATTTGGCCTATTTTGCATGTGTATTGCAAAAATAATAATAATTATAGCCATAACTGTTGTGCATCTTTTTCTCGCGATACTTCTGCAACTACGAATACTTAAGCAGGTGCTACTTAAGGTGTTACTTAAGCATTTGGGGAAGACATGAGTCAACTGATTCTATAGTCTGTACTGAAGCTGAAGCAGTACTCCAGTATTTTGAAGAGTATCTATAAATTTCTCACGGAAGAATKAAGAAAATAGATAACGCTAAAAGGGGCGGGTCATACGCTCCACTTATAAGTACGAATGATTTTTTACATTTCTAAAAGATCAATTTCAGCTGTTTCAAAGGAAACATGTTATATCTCATGGGCAGTGCATAATAGAATGATCCTAGATCCTAGGCCTCCTCTGGAGTGAAAGAAAACACGTAAATCCGCAGTGAAAGGATAGAAAGAAAGAAAAGAAAAAAGAGAGATCGAAAAAAAAAAAACGGAGAAAGAAAGCGGAAAGATAAGATATNAAAAAAGAGAGATCGAAAAAAAAAAAACGGAGAAAGAAAGCGGAAAGATAAGATATGAAAAGAAACATAATTAGGTTTTTTATCAAAAACATCTTGCACTCGCAAATCTAAATAACGTGTGTGCGTATCAGTAATGATATATATATATATATATATTTAAATAAATATTAATATTAATATTAATCTAAATCGTATTCTAAAATTATTATGCATATAAGTGCCAAACATACTTCACTGGTTTTACCATTAAAATAATCATTTTGTCTAGATGAGAATACTTACGCGATTCATCTGTTGTGGTTTCGTTCTATCTACTACCAAGATAGCATCTAGTACGTGATTCATCTCATTTTATAGCAATGCCTAAGGGCTGAGTCCTCATAGGAACAGGATATCAGTTTTCCTTATGGCAAAACTAATATTATAGATCTCAAATGAGTTGCTATCGCACTTAAAGTGCTCGAGTACAATCTATCAATTTGAATCGTTTTTTTCTTTGTTCTGAATATTTCGAACTTTTATATTTCGAGACTTGAATAACACATTGCCGTATTACTACGTCCACCTGACTCACTTGCAGCACAACAAGTTGAACGATTTTGTTGCTCGTATTCCGGCACCTGATATCCATATAGCTATACCTAGTATGACATAACGCCCGTACATAAATGAAAAGTATTCAATAATATGACGGGACCTGCTACATGCATTACGATATTGCTGTAACATTAATACACCTATTTCAAAATACGTTGTCGGTCGAAGGTTTTTTAATTAGCAGTTCCTGCGCAACRAGTCAATATCTTAATATTCCAGCAATTTTGAGCGATAACCTACGCTAGCGGATTGTCTGGCTAAGTGTATTTTCAAGTCATCGTTCAGTGAAGGAAATTGTTCARTACCTTTGCATATTACCGCTCGGTTAAGAGGTTTAAAGTAACTATATATACCACGCGACTGCGATGAAATTGACCGTCTTTATATCGAACGGAAAAACGTAGGTACGAATGTAATTTTAATCTTTGATGAGAAAACATCCCCCAGAATTCCCCTCGGTATCAGATTTCATATCTCAGATCTGGGGTTTTTGTTGAAATAGGTATATCGACCAATAATTATTAATTTATCAAGAGGAAACAAATTAAGTTTTATGAAAGCATGTATTCAATCTAAAGATATAATGATATTTGTTTTTCATTAAAAGGAAAAATGAGACCAAATACTCCGGTTTTTAATCTCTGTTGTTCTCATATACACAAATTCGTATGGAATTATTTTGAATATTCATGCATTCCAGCTAAGTGCTTGCTTGTAACTGTAAGCATTGATATCATTGGTGCATTCATTGCTCGTATCTGGTGCATTCTTTACTCTCAGGTTGGTCAGTTGGAAATATTCTGACGATGACTGAAATAAGACTAACCCTGAGAAAATGATAATCCGTAATCCAAAAACAGCGGTGTTCGGACTAATTCGAAAACGGTCTATTCGAGATTCAAACAGACCAGCCTCATAAGCTGGCAAAATACTGGCAAAAAAAAGCAGGCTTACTTAATATCATTTTATCTTACGATATTTCGCTATCTAATATTATGATATTTTCAATACTCTTACCTGAACTTCCACTGCTGCACTGAACTACTGACCACTTCTTTTTGATTCTTATTATCTAAMTGGAATATATAGCTGTTCTCACGCCCTAAGTGTTTCCGTTTGCTCTTCTGACGTAATATCACAAGTGGTATTTTGGTGTGTGGGCATCGAGGCAAGTTCTTAACGAGAGAAGTCTTCAACTGTAATTCTACTTCAGTGTCTGCCCTTTACATACTAGATATTATCTTTAAGAATCCTACGGCAATACAAAGCTATAATGACATTTTCTGTCTATCAGTCACACATGCATGTTTGAAAATTCAAAACCATTAAGAAAGTGCTTAAAAACCTTTCGCTAAAATATATGGGCTTAGTACAATTCAAGGTGCTCAAGTATTGGATTTAAGGAGTATTCAGAGAAAGCATGAATAACTCCCTCATTCAAGTCTGTTCTTTCTTTCTTTTTTTCATTCCTTTATCAATTCATCCGTCCATTCTTTTCTTTTCCTTTTCCTTTGTTTGTTTGTCTTTCATTTTTCTTAGTCACGCATTGTTCCTTTTCTTCTCGCGGAGAATCAATACTCATATTTAATACTATTAAATCTCACCTATACTGCCAAGTGCTTCTTAGGTGTGAAGTATACATAAGAAAGTCGAATACAAAAAAGCAACTTCAAATTAGAGTTTGAGATGACAGTTCTAATCATTACATAACACCGAGTGCCATTCAATGTTCGTTGTAGCTCACATTCATCACATCTCCACTCCATTATTCGTAATTGTTTTCCTACTTTATCTTTTCGTTTTTCCTCTTCTACCGGAAGATTTTGACAAATACCATTAAGTCCAAATACCATTAAGTTAATATTTGTCGTGAAGTATGGTTGAAATAAACTGATCTGTAGAGCACTTACAGTGATGATGATAGCTTAGAAGCATCTGTGTGTGTACTCTACAGTGGATGCGGTTCCACAACTTATAAAACAGTAAAAAAAAAAGTTCATTCAATAGTTTTTGTCATTTTCTTTACTAGTTTTTATAAATGATTGTGACAACTGCGTTTCCGACCAGTCGCCAGCTTCCTCATGCATAACCAGCCTTTAAGACATTAAAGATATATATAGTTTAAAGGGGGACTAGCATGTAAATCGTCCGAATTCTAATTCAGCTGAAACTTTACTGGAAAAACCCTTAAAGGTATAATAATCACTGATTAAAGCTTTTTTCCTGATATTCGGACGGTAAGTGTTATGTTTTTATAGGAGTCTGTGACGTCATACACTCAACACTAAACATCGCTCCATGCATTTCTTTGTATTTTGTAATCAAAATATGTTCTAGTTTTATACTCATTATTTAAGAAAAAAAGATACCATAAAATGATTCTAACCACAAGTTATGTACGTTAAGTCCCAAAACGGACCTTGGGCTTAATAGAAAAAAGTAAAACATGAAGTTATTTACAAAGAAATGTATGGAGCAATGTTTAGTGCTGAGTGTATGACGTCACAGATACCTATAAAAATTCGTAAAAATATAATACTTCAATTCCCATTGGAATATAAAGAAAAAACTTTAACTAGTGATTATTGGACTGGTAAAGCTTATTCAATTGAAGTTCTCAGCCAAATTAAATTTCGGAAGATTTTTGTGCTAGTCCCCCTTTAATAAAAAAAGCCGAAAATTTTCAAACTTGAGAAGCTCTCACTTAACTATAGGTATAATAATTTGACGTCATACTGGGAATCAATCACTGTTCTTAACGACAGAATTCCCACGTATTTCAGAGAGATGTTCATTTATGGAACAGTAGGATGGATGTTTGATGGATGTTTGCCTCTCGCTAGCCAATCTATGATTACAATGAACATCAGTGCAAGCGCGGTAAGGCAGTAATTTTTCACATTGCCTTAAAAGGCTATTAAAGACGTTTTAAGCTCAAACTCTGACCGCCTTTTCAGGAAAACAGTGTACACCGGTTTAGATCCGCACCTGATATGCGTATGTTTGTATTATTGATTGCGAAACGACCCGACTACACCATATGGAAGGTAGTAGTACATGCCATAACATTACTCTTATCAAGCCATAATGACAACACAGCTAGAAACCTAAATTATCATTTCTAGGACAAGTGGTTGAGTATTACTAGAAAAGCACACTTAATCTTAAAATCAGTAGAAAGAGATGAGAATATATCTGGAAATCGATTGTATTGTTGACATCAAGAAGGAAGCGCCGGTCATGTCTTTGGAACTCTCTTTAAAAATAGAGTTCGGCAGTTTTGTACTTTAAATAAACACGTGGGCATTGATCATTCGATAAGTAATGTTAATGACACTGGAAAAAACAGTAAACAGCGACGATTTACCAGTAGCTTCTTTTCCAAAAGGTTATTTCTAGGTTTTAAAGCATGTATGTCTATTTGTTTAAACATTGAAGATAACATAAATATTTTTTCTTAAATCAAGTGAAGTTGGTTATAACTGGGGGTATCGTAACGACATTTTAAGAATAAAGGCGTAGGACGACTTTTACAGCCCACACTTTTGTTTAGTTAGTGAACAGCGTTGTTGAAAGAAGAAAGCTTATTGAACGTTTGAACAAAGCATAAATCGACACTACAGGATYGATCACGAGAATCTAAGCGATTGAAAATTGATATATATACTTGAGAGTAGTATTTCTTAAGGTTGATTTTAAAATGGCCGGTGATCAATAAAATGACGGTCTATTTTGCAGACAGTACAGTCATTACTTACATTTATAACTGGAAGATTCCTTCAAATGTCCCTTGGTCTTTGCCTATCTAGTTGATCGGCTGTGTATATATATACAGTCCGGTATCATTTTCCATCGATCCCCCAGGCAAGGGATATGTGGAATATTTGCACAACAGTAGTATTTGCCATAACAAAATATAATGCGAACTTAAAGTGTGTTTTTCTCGGCGCAAAACGCGATTATTAATACAGCTCAGAATACCCGCGAAATTTATTCGAATATAAAATATGAGTTTATTCTTTTTGACTTGTTTGAAAAACATATAATAGTTGTGTTCGAAAAGCCTAGGCGCCACGACCAAGCAAGATAGTTTACTGAATGATAGAAATTCATGTTATTTTAAATATTTGAGATATAACGCGAGCGCTGATCGGGCTGTTTACCGTGTGTAAGATATCGCGCAAAATAGTTCACCTGAAAAACTGAGTTCATACAAAAATAATTTAAAACGGCTGCTAGTGTCTATGTATTTTGATATAAATTTCTCTCATGCCCTACAGCTCCCAGCGTGTTTATATCACAGTACAGAGACATGCGCGCGCTTTTTATATTGGTCATATATATTTATATGCATATCCAGCCGAGCGGTGACAAGGCGTGCAAAGTATGACCAAAGTGAAGTTGGTGTCAGGTTCTCGAGTCAGATTTTTGAGTCAGGTTTTCGGATCTAGTGTCAGATTTTTTCCGGGGGGCGTCACATTATGTTGATCTACAAAGTGCTCTACATTCGTACAAACGCGTTGATTTACTATAAAACCCACACCAAGCTTTATTCACACGATATTCATGAGGTTCGTTGTCTTTGGGGATCGAAACACTCACCTCAAAGAAAATAAACAGCGGTTTCAGATTTTTTGAGCTGTTTTATGTACTATCAACGGGCTTCATGCCACAAATACTTCGAGTACCGCTCCCATATATCGAGTTACTGAACCCTTTTATTTCAAAATGTTAACGCACTTTTTCTTAGCGAAAAATACCCATGCTTTACGTCGAATAAATCGAGCCGTAATTTGATGTCCAAATGTATGAGTGCACCAAATGACCGATGCTAAGCATTTTTGGAGTTTGAAAGAAAGAAGCTTAATCATGGCGGTAAAGTAAAATTGTCTTTATTCTTCCCTTCCATATTTCTGCTTCTTGTTGGCACGTATGTTATATTTTAGTCAAAAGAAAAAGATAAGAAGAAGAAGAAGAAGAAGAAGAAGTAGAAGTAGAAGAAGAAGAAGAAGAAAAAACCCGCAAAAGGTGGCATGGGAATGAGGGCCGGCGGCAAAACAGCTAAACGCGCTGTGATTGGTTGAAACAAAATTCACTGCTCAGCTGAATATATATATAGATACGAAGCGAAATATAAGGCGGGTTGTCGACCTATGGTTTATTTCATCAGCTTATTTCGGTTAGAGGATATACAGGAAGCCAAAATGCGACCAAAAGATACATTTTAATTTTCGTAAATATTTCAAATGAATAAGTTATAATTAATCCTAAAGATATAAATACAGTATTGTATATATTAATAATTTTAACCATGTATAAATCCACCGTATATTTTATTTAAGGTTGTTAAATAAAGCTTATTATTATATGAAAAAGCCATGAAAAAGAGTATTTTAGGACCAAATTTAGCTACGTATTATTTTCTCGAGAATTTACCAGATATCGATCACTGTAAGATAGTTGTAGCGTATATTGTAGGCGTGGCCCATACAATGAAAAGGAAAGAGGACAAGACATAGTCGTACGCCATGTCGATCGGTGCTCATAACAAAGAACACACCTCAAGCTAAAACATTTGAGAGGCGGCGATGACGTCAAACCCTACTATATAGATACACAGAATATGTATCATATATTCATTATTAACGTTACAGACAATTGCTAAATACGGACACCCTCAAATTAGTATCCTTGAGGATCGACTGTGTATGGTCAAAAGGACTTGTTTCTTGTTTTTACTGTACGACCTACTCGATTAGCTCAGTTCAATTACCTTCATTTTTCAGTTTTCCTATTTCTTTAGGATTATGTCTCTGGGGACTAGATAGTGCTATAAATAACTATTGTTGTCGTCGTTATCATTGGTATCATGGGTATCTTAATCGGTCATGGTCCCAAATATTGCCTTGCCTTCCATGTTCTCCCGCGATTCCTGTTTTAGACATCAATCATCTTGTTTGAAATCTAACCCTAACCCTATTACCATGATAACTAGATGTATATATCACTAGTTTTGTCTTTTTTTTTTTTTTTTTTCCCTTGAAGTACTCAGAAAACCATTGAGATATTTGAGGGTTTTGCTATCATATTCACGAGTTTTTAATCCCAATTACTAATTTTATTCAATTCCTTTCCGCGCAATTTCTTTAGCTTGGGCGTAATCGAAT